ACCAAGCTCAACTGGCACAACGTAGTACATAAAAATCTTTTTCAACAACCTACTTTTGTGAGTAGTGACTAGGGTCTTAAAAGCTTTTGAGTGGCCATGTAGGATGCAAGTATTGGTTTCCTCTCATCTGAAGCACAGAAGAGTAGAGAAAATCAAAGCCAGTTGGAAACAATTAGTCCAAGGATATGAGGGACCTCAAGACCAGAAGAACTAGATAGTGCCCAATTACCAATGCCAACCACTCAGGAAGGGATCAAAACTGGAGATCCTGGATAGAGTGGGAGGAAAAATGTGGAACAAAATTCAAAAATACAAAAATGACCAGAATTACAGTCAGATGGAACCTAGTAGAACCCCCAAGACTATGGCTCTAGGTTACCCTTTGGACCTAGAAAACCACTACACCACCAGAGCTCCTTGTAAAACAGAAGTCACTTTTAAAATCTATACCCCAAATTTGTACAATTTCCATCAGACTTTAGGACAAATTTATTAGAATGATAAAAATGTGATGACTTATTTTCAATAACAGAATAGTTAGAATTATTAAAATACCTACAATACCTTGCTACTAATTCGGGGAATTCCTTTGTAATCTGCTTTATTACATAAACAATAAACCATTCATCCTCAATGTTATCCCCAAACTTTGTCATGCCAAAAATATGAGCAGGAACATGTCCTAAAAACAAGAGAAAAACAACCATGTAAGCAGATAAACTTGTCATTGTAAATAAAAATACATGTGCTCATTCAATCAAACAACCATTCATTGACTGACTATTATGGCCCAGGTACTATACTGGGAATTGGGGATGCAATACTGAGTATGGTACAAGATGCTTTTTATGAAGAACTCAGGGTCTAACATGAGAAGTAGACAATCAAGTCATTCAAAATAAGATGATAAATATATGTACTAAGGACTATGTGAGCATAAAGGAGGTGATATATGAGCTATGCTGGTCTGCAAGAATGATCAGGGGTGAGATTCTAGGAAGAAGACACAACATGTTGGTACAGAGGCATGACCAAAAAAAAAAAAGCATGTTTTGGGAATATCAGATTAAATTTGGATAAAGCAGAAATTTTCAAAGAAGTGCACTGCAGAGTATCTCAAGAGCTGCCAAGTCAATAAATAAATAAAAATTCAGATGGGAAGAAAAGCCCACTCAACTCTTCTCCTCAAACCAATTCTCCCAAGTTTCCTCAACTAGAGTATTTCCAATTAGGGTATCTATTTTAGCTACTCATATATTAAACTTAAATTTGAACTTCATCCTCAAGTAATGGAAAACTGTTGAAGAATGTTATGCAGGAGAATCCATCAGATTTGTGTTTTACAAAACTAATTGGCAACAGTATAAGGAACTGGAGAAATAGTAAGTAGAGTAGATAAATAGGTGGCTATTGGAGCTCTGGTAGCATAGTGGCTAAGACACTTGCCTGCTAACCAGACGGCTGGCGGTTCAAACCCACCAGCCACTCCTCGGAAGGAAGGTTGGGCAATCCTACTTCCATAGTGATACTGCCTCGGAAACCCAAGGAGGGGTCGCTATGAGTCGGGTTTGACTCGACGGCACATAACAACAACAACAACATTGTAGTTTTCCAGATGAAGAGATAAAAAAGGCCTTGATTACAACCAAACAGATGCCAAGAAAGAGCCATGGCTGAGAGGTAAGGATGGTAGGACTTAGAGCCTGACTGAACATGGCAAAGTGAGGATTGGAGCATGATTCTGAATTACTAACTAGAGTAGAGTTACATAAAATGAGAAAACAGAAGATAAAAAAATGATGTTCTAGAGGAAAGTTAACTTAGTTTTGGATGTGCTGTGCTAATGTGACAGTGTGACAGCGTTCTTGCCAATAAATACCACATGTATTTCAGTAAATACAATAAAACTAACAGTAGGTATCTTAGTTCTCTAGTGCTGCTATAACAGAAATACCACAAGTGGGTGGCTTTAACAAACAAATTTATTTCCTCACAGTTTAGGAGGCTAGAAGTCCAAATTCAGGGTGACAGCTCTAGGGGAGGGCTTTCTTGCTCTGTCAGCTTTGGAGAAAGGTCCTCCTCTCTTTGAGCTTCTGCTCCTGGGCAATCTTCATGTAGCTTAGCATTTCTCTTCCCTCATCTCTGCTTGCTACTTTGTGTTTAATCTCTTTTATATTTCAAAAGAGATTGACTCAAGATACACTTCTACACTAATCTTGCCTCATTAGACAACCCATTCCCAAATGGAATTGTAACCATAGGTATAGTGGTTAGGATTTACAACACATCTTTTGAGGGTACATAATTCAATCCATAACAATAAGGAAGACATTTGGTTAACTGCTAGCCAATACATAACAGATAAGCTTGAGATTAAGAGCCAGATTGACAGTGGCACAACATGATCCCAAGGAAGACCCAACATTAAGTCACAGAATAGAGTCTTGGTCATCTGTTCATGACTCATTTTAGTAAAGAAATGATATAAGAAATGATACAACAAAGTGCTATATTTGGCCAGAGGTCAGACTTCAAGTATCAACAACACAAGGAAGTAGTGGAGAAACCTCAAAGTGCTTCTTGGTGGCAAATAGTGGTCATAAAGCCCAATTATTTCTCTTACAAGCCAGGCTGAGTCACTCTTTGATCCCCACCAAAACAACTATCTGAAACAATGCAGCCTACTAAATACATCATTAAGATCTAGGAATTCTGAGTGATACCAAAAGGGACTATGGTTAAAGTAGCCAATTTCCTGAAAAAGTTTAGTATATTATGACCTAGTAAAGTAATTAAGAGTTCAAAAGAGTAGCCCTGAGTTTAACAATGTTGTGCATATTCTAGTTCCTGAGGTAATGACTGTTAGAAAGGTTTTCATCAACATGATTTTTTTAAAAAGGGCTTAACTGAATCTAGGCAAGCATCACTAATCTAAAAGTTCAGGATATATATTGCTTCCTTACCACAATGAACGAACTATGGACTATTTTTATACTTCATTGCTTTCAGAATGACATTAAAAGCACACATATCAAGACAGATGAAAGAACCTTACCTTTCTCCGGTCTGTATTTGAGATTGAATGGCTGATTCTGCCAGATATAAGGAACCAGCATGGGTGCAAACTGGGTCATTATTCTCTCAATATACTTCAGAAGAATCTCCTTGTGTTTTTCTGGGTCCTTTGGTTCATTTGGTATGAGGAACAGGTGGTATTCCACAGTGTCTTCCACTGTAGCAAGCTTCGTATTTCCCTCCATTCTTCTTTGATAACTACATTTAAAGTTCCAATAATATAAACCACATACAACAATGCAGAAATAACAACCTACTCCCTCAACTCTTCCAGCTGACTCCATTAACACGAGTCCCCCAAAATTCATTTATTCACATACTACATGGTTTTTGCCTTGACCCTGTACCAATTACAGTAATATCTATTTAGTATTATTCTTTATAATGAATTTTATACTTAAAATCATATAAAAGGAAATTTTATATTAAGATAGTGAATGGAAATCCAGTGTCATATTCCCAAATTAATTGATAATTAGGTATGAATAAAATTTAAAAATGCCTATCCTTGCACTAGTAATGGAAAACTCTGCACTAACATTCACTGTTTAAACACCAGCAAAAGTTCTACTTTTGCCACTAATTAGACATGTCACTGTGGGCACTTCACTTTCTCTTTCTGGGGCTTTTCCCTCAATTGTAGAATAAGAATTTTACTCTACCATCTCTAAAATTCCCCCCTGGTTTAAAATTTTATAGTTTAAAAGCTCTTATGGTCTACATAATTTTAAATCTCCCTTTTATAAGCATTGTATGGCATTGGGCAATTCAAAACTACAGAACATTCATGTCCTATCATCTCATCCCAAAATAACAGTTCCCCTCTGTTGCTCTCCAAAAAGAACACAATTTGCCCATGGCTCTTGATCCTACAACCAGCTGTCCTAAATTTGCCCCTTTTTCAAATCTCAGGGGTATACTAAAAAAAAAACAAACTCACCACCATGGAGTCGATTACGACTCATAGCGACCCCCTTTGGGTTTCCGAAGCTGTAAATTTTTTACGGAAGTAGATTGCCTAGTTTTCCTTCCTGGGAAGGGCTGGTGGGTTTGAACCGCCAGCCTTCTGGTTAGCAGTGAAATACCTTAGGCACTAGGCCAGCAGAGCTCCTAGAAACCCATTATTTCTTAAGTGGTAGAGTGAAAATGTAGCTTCAAAGTATGGTTAAGAAAATTCACAAATGAGCACTCCATCTTGAATTACGGGAAAGTGGTGAAATTCCTTACTTCTGAGGGATAGTGCTTGGGTAAAGGATGGCACTGCACTTGATGGACCTCCGAATGCCGCGATTCAATGCTTTACTTTAATAACCGACTCATCATGAGCAATCTCCATCTTCTATCCAGACACCCACTCAACATAATCTGTCCAAATCATTTTGCCTTTCAACCCTGAGGAACAGACAATATTTCTAACCCCCTTACCCCTTACGCCAAGAGCACCACATTAAACAAAACTTAGTGTCAAAACGAAAAGAGATTTTGAGATTACCCAGACTAATTCCTCACCGAACAGATGAGAAAACCAGAATTGAAGAAAGGGAAGGGGCCAAGTAGCAAGGGTCTCAGAGTTCAATGTTTATTGCTGGGACCAGAGGGATCCCTCCCTCCCTCGGAGCAAAGGAAGTTAATTTCTCTTACGGCTCTAGGGTCTCTTCGCCGCTTCTCTGGTGATGCACCTCTCCGCCGCCGCTCCTCCCACCACTTGAGAACACCAACTGGGTCTTGCCACGGAGGATTCGGCGTTTTTCAGTTCCACAGCCTCCAAAACCTGGCCCAGGCTCATTCCCAACGCCTGCATCGGATCTGAGGCCAGGGGAAACCCTAAGAAAAAGTCAGAAACCCTCTCAGCCTCCGGAATCACCGGGCCTCGTTACTACTGCGCGCTGGCGGGAGCATTAGGCAGCTGTCCTGCTGTCTTCGTCACTTCCGGCCCCGCGGGAAGACGGGGGGGGGGGAGCGGGGAACTGGATAGGTGGTGGCCTTGGGGAGGTGGCGGTCGGGAGTCTAGACGACGGGGAGAGACGGGGCCAGAAAGGGGCGTGAGGGGGTCGGGCCGGAGCCGGCTGGAAGGCCAGGCCCGGAGGCCCCCACCCTGGCGTGCAAGCCCAGGCCGCGTCTGAGGCCGAAGAGGAAGATGATCTCCAGATACACTCGAAAAGCGGTGCCACAGAGCTTGGAACTGTGAGTAGACTGCCCAGGCACCCCTGTCCAGGGCTAGGGGTAGGTGAAGTGGGCCGCGGTGTCTCTGGGGCCCCTGCCTGACCAATCAGTCCTTCTCTCCTTTCCTTTCCCAAGGAGGGGATGGAAACATTTTCTCTCAGCCCTGCGCTGGCCCTTCTACTTCATCTGCAGCTGAGGACATGTCACCTGTACTATGTACACCTAGGACTTGGCCCTCTTGGAACTGGGTCCCCTATGGCATTTGTACTTTCCACAGTGCCTCATGCCCTGTGAATGGTCATTGACAACTCAAGGAGTTATTAATAACTGAGTGCTACGGTAAAATCGTGGCAGGCACCGCACTAAGTTATTTACATGCATTACCTCACTTTAATCCCTTCCACAAGGATATGAGATAGGAACTACTGTTTTGCACACCAAAGGCCAGAGGAGTTGTAGGATGACATCAGAAACGTCAGACATGAAGAAAGCAAAAGTCATTAAAAAGACAGGAAAGGAAGAAAAGACCGAAGGTCATGTCAGAAGAGGCTCTGAAACTTGCTCCTGAATGGAGAGTAGCTAAAGTGAAAGGAAGAAATGTTGAAATAAAAGAGCTGAACAAAAGATTTCAAAGGGTGCCTGGAGAAGACAAAGTGTTGTAATGAAATGTGCAAAGACCTGGAATTAGAAAACCAAAAGGGAAGAACATGCTTAGCATTTCTCAAGCTGAAAGAACTGAAGAAAAAAATTAAGTCTTGAATTGCAATATTGAAGGATTCTATGGATAAAATATTTAACATTGCAGGAAGCATTGAAAGAAGATGGAAGGAATACAGTCACTGTATCACAAAGAATTGATTGACATTCTGTTATTTCAGGAGGTAACATATGATCAAGAACCAATAGTATCAAAAGGAAGAAGTCCAAGCTGCACGGAAGGAATTGGTGAAAAACAAGGCTCCAGGAATTGATGGACTACCGGTTGAGATGTTCCAACAAGTGGAGGCAGCACTGGAGGTACTTATTCATCTATGGCAGGAAATTTGGAAGACAGCTACCTGGCCAAACAACTGGAAGAGATCCATATTAGTGACTATTCCAAAGAAAGGTGATCCAACAGAATGTGGAAATTATCGAACAATATCATTAATATCACACACAGGTAAATTTTTGCCGAAGATAATTCAAAAACTATTGCAGCAGTATATTAACAGGGAATTTCTAGAAATGCAAATTGGATTCAGAAGAGGACATGGAACAAGGGATATCATTGCTGATGTCAGATGGAGCTTGGTTGAAAACAAAGAATACCAGAAAGATGTTTACCGTTTGTTTTTTTTTTCCCTGATGGTCTTTTAACCTTTTGTTTATTCCTTAATCACACACTTAGTTTGAAGCTAGAGGAAATGGTGAGAAAAAAATAATGTGGCAATAGGGTTAGAAGGAAGGCTTTACGTTAGAAAATTCTAGTCTCGAGGGCCATCATGTCCTAGGGCTGATTGCTTCCAGATGCCCTTGTTTTTTTGCACTCTTCTTCGCCTCTGACACTAGGAGACCATTAGCTGCATCTTAGATGGCTGTTGAAAGCTTTTAAGACCCTAGTCGCTACTTACCAATGTAGGATGCTGTTTTATTGACTATGCAAAGGCATTTGATTGTGGGGATCATAACAAATTGTGGATAACACTGAGAAGAATGGGAATTCCAGAACACTTAATTGTGCTCATGAGGAACCAAGAGATTGTCATTCGACAGAACAAGGGAACTACATGGTTTAAAATCAGGAAGCATGTACATCAATGTTGTATCCTTTACCATACTTTATTCAGTCTGTATGCTGAGCAGATAGATAATCCAAGAAGCTGACTGTATGAAGAACAATATAGTGTCAGGATTGGCTGAAGACTCATTAACAACCTACAATATGCAGATGACACAGCCTTGCTTGCTGAGAGTGAAGATGACTTGAAGCACTTACTGATGAAGATCATAGATTACAGTCTTCAGTGTGGATTATACCTCAGCATAAAACAAAAATCCTTAAAACTGGACCAATAACCATCATCATGATGAATGGAGAAAGACTGAAGTCAGGGATTTCATTTTGCTTGGATCCACAGTCAACACTCGTGGAAGCAGCAGTCAGGATATCAGAGTTCATATCACACTGATCCCGTCTGCTGAAAGAGACCTCTTTAAAATGTTGTAGAGCAAAGATGTCACTTTGAAGACTAAGGTGTGCCTAACCTAAGCCATGGTATTTCCAGTTGCCTCATATGCATGTGAAAGCTGTTCAGTGAATAAGGAAGACCAAAGAAGAATTGATGCCTTTGAATTGTAGTATTGACCAAAAATACTGAAAATACCAAGACTGCCAAAAGAACCAACAAATCTATCCTGGAAAAAGTGCAGCTGGAATGTTCCTTAGAAGTGAGAATGACCATACTTCATCGCACCTTCTTTGGTCATGTGGTTGGAAAGGACCAATCCCTGGAGAAGAATATCATGCTTGGTAAAGTGGAGGGTCAGAGAAAAAGGGGAAGACCTTCAATGAGATGGTTTGACACAGTGGCTGGAACCTCTAATCCTGCCTTGGGAGCTCTGGTAGCATAGTGCCTAAGGCACTTGACTGCTAACCAGAAGGCTGGCGGTTCAAATCCACCAGGCAGTCCTCCGAAGGAAGGTTGGGCAATCCTACTTCCATAGTGATACTGCCTCGGAAACCCAAGGAGGGGTTGCTATGAGTTGGGGCCAACTCGACGGCAAATAACAACAACAACAAGAGCTAAGGGAAGAGACATGCCAAGCCACATGAAGATTGCCCAGGAGCAGAAGCTCAAAAGAGACACGGACCTTCTTCCAGAGCCGAGAGAGAAAGCTGCTTTCTAGAGTCAACACCTGGAATGTGGACTGCCAGTCTCCTAAACTGTGAGAAAGTAAATTTGTTTGTTAAAGCTGCCTGCTTTTGGTGTTTCTGTTATAGCAGTACCTTAATCATGGTTATATACCCAGTAGAGTTAGGATCTAAACTTAGGCTTTTTAACTCTAAATCCATTTTTTGTTTGTTTGTTTCTTCACTGAGCTAAATAATACATTTATTAATTAAATACTAAGTATACATAGTAATCATAAGCATGGTACTTTGAGTCACACCTGGCTTCTGGTTAGGCTGTGTTCTAGCTCTGTGGCTTTTGGGCAAATTACTAAATCTCCAAGCCTACATTTCTGTAACACAGGAGTAATACCTACTTCATAGGAAAATCTATATAAAGTGATGGCACAGTGTAGGTCCTTAATAAATGGTCATTCTCATCCTTTTCCACCTACACTAGATACAGTTGTAAACAAAGATACTCTAAGATGAGATCCCTCCTTGCCTTCCAGAAGCTTGATATTTAGAAAAAAAAAATCACTGCCATTGAGTTGCATCCAACTCATAGTGCTCCCTCCTTGGGTTTCCGAAGCAGTATCTCTGCGGAAGTAGATTGCCCAACCTTCCTTCTGAGGAGTGGCTGGTGGGTTTGAACTGCCAGACTTCTGGTTAGCAGTCAGATGCCTTAGGCACTATGCCACCAGAGCTCCTTATTATTTACTAAGAAATAAGATATGTATGCAGTAGCAATTCAAATAATAAGTCTTTAGGAATGAAGGAAAAGTAATTCCCAATAGAGTAAATAAGGCTTAGCTAAAAAAAAGTCCGTTCTTATAATTCATTTTGACTATTCTGAGAGTAAAATAAATTCTTAGGTGGAAAAAGAAATGGTAATAGGCATTTACTGGGCCAGAATTACTGACATAGCATAGTTCTGTTTCTTGTTCTTTGTCATTGACTTGATATTCCCAAAAAATTAACTTTCCCCAAATATACCTCTCTGGATGAGTCAGAATAATGTAGATAAACCCAAACCCACTGCCACAGATAATGAAGACAAAGTGCATCTAAATGAGAGTAAATTAAAAGAAATTTTTGTTTTAGATATTATAATGATGATCTGTTTTATAGCAGTCACTGTAGTTTTCTCCCTAACAGTAAAAGATTATAGATGTTAAAAGCGTTTGGAAAAAATGAATTTCAGCATATAGCTTAACATTTTTAATGAAAAATTTCAAACATAAGTACTCACTGCCATCGAGTCGGATCTGACTCATAGCAGCCCCTCCTTGGGTTTCCAAAGTGGTATCACTACAGAAGTAGATCGTCCAGTCTTCCTTCCAAGGAGTGGCTTTTGGGTTTGAACCACCAGCCTTCTGATTAGCAGTCAAATGCCTTAGGCAGTACTCCACCAGAGCGCCTTCAAACATAAGTAATCATAGAGAATATTGCATTGAACCCCCATATTCCTGTCATCTATACTCAACAATTATAAAAATTTTAATATATACACTTCATCAATCTTCTTTATTTGCTTTTTCCCCAACCAGTAGCATCAACCCATCTACAGAGATTACATCCATCTCTTCCAGTTGAGTGATACACATGTGATTCTCACAAAGTGTTGGCAAATTAAAGCCATATAATTCTTCACAGCAAACAACAGGAATTGTTCCATGGTACCCCCTAGGCTCAAAAGATGACTGGACATAGACAGAATTAATAAGGTATTATACTTCTTTTCCTACTAAGATTTTGAAAACCAGTATGTTTTACATTTAAAGTTTGTACATCTCAATTCTGACTAGCCTCATTTTAATGGCTGATGGCTACTCTATTGGACGGTGCAGTTTTAGAGCAGCAGGAAGGGAAGTAGGTGACTAACTTCTAGATCAAGTTAATGAAAAGTATATATATTTTCTTTGCAGGAAGTATAACTTTGTTTTTTGTTTCACAGAAAAGGAATAACACAATATGCTCTTAATCATCATCCCCTCCCAGAGCGACTAGATGAAATTTCCTCCACCAATGGCAGCCATGAAAAAGACACAAGTTCCCAAAGGTAGTAACAGTGTATTTGTTTGCCTACTGCTCTTGCTAATAGTAGAAGTTTGCTTTTTACTTTAGTATTGCTATTAAAGTTTTTAGCTTAAGACTGTACAAATGAAATAAGGATTTTTATCACATATTTCCAGTACTATTGGGCTTTCATTCTAGGATAGCTCATGGCAATAATATCATATTTATTTTCATAACTTTTGAGAAGCAATATTATGAAGTAGTTAAAAGCATAGACTCAGGAGAAGTCTGACATCATATTTTTAATCCTGGTTCTGCCACTTATTTAGCTGAAAATAATGGAGAAGTTGCCATATCTTTTTCCACAAATAATGCACCTATGTAAATAACATGTCCACACATATAACATGCAGAAATGAAATTAAGTAAAACAGTTCTGAGATAGCACACTCATGCATGTATTTCACACGTCTCATGACATTTCCAGAAGTGAATTTCAACTTTATTTACCCATCCTCCCATATTATAGGTAAATCATTTCATTCTGGTTATTCTTTCATCTCCTGCTTATATATATATACAAATAGGCCAAAAATGTTACTTTTGATAATAAACCAAAACCAAACTCACTGCCATTGAGCCAATTCCGACTCATAGTGACCCCCATTGGGTTTCCAAGGCAGTAAATCTTTACGGAAGTAGATTGCCCAGTCTTCCTTCCATTGGGTGACTGGTGAGTTTGAACCACCAGCCTTCTGGTTAGTCAAATGCCTTAGGCACTTGGCCACCAGAGCTCCTTCTTTTGATAATAATTGCATAATAAAGATATAAGCCGTAGTCAAGAAGTCATAGAGTTTAGAACTCAAAAACCAAACCAAACTCACTGCCATCGAGTCGTATCCGACTCATAGTGACCCCCCTGGGGTTTCCGAGGCAGTATCACTTCGGAAATAGATTGCCTAATCTTCCTTCCAATGAGTGGCTGGTGGGTTTGCAGTCAAATGCCTTAGGCACTAGGCCACCAGAGCTCCTATAGATTTTAGAGTCCCTTGGTAATCAGAAAATCAAACAATTGAAATGTGTGTTTCTTTCTATTAAAGTTGATAATTATAGTGCATTAGGTCAATGGTTGAATGTGAAAACCTTATCAGATCATTGTAAGTGAAGCCATTTTGTTAGGTCTAATTATTTCATAGTTTAATTATGTCTTCTTAATGTCAATTGCAGTCGGCAACATGTAAAAAAAATAATTGGCATAGTGTGCTTATGAAAATAATATGAGGGGGTACACATTGGCAAAAAAAACATATAATGTGTACATTGTTTGTAAAAAATATGGTCCTTCCCTTGATAATGTTATCTGTTATAGGGTATTGTGAACGTAAATGAGATAAAACATATACAAGGAGCTCTGGCAGCTCTGTGGTTAAAGCATCGGGCTGCTAACCAAAAGGTCAGCAATTCAAACCCATCAGCTGCTCCATGGGAGAAAGATGAGGCAATCTGCTTCCATAAAAATTTACAGCCTTAGAAACCCTATAGGGCAGTTCTGTACTATCCTGTAGAGCTGCTATGAGTCAGAATTGACTTGATGGCAGTGGGTTTTTTGTGTTTTTTTTTTAAGTATATAAAAGCAAAAAACCAAACTCAATGCCATCGAGTCAGATCTGACCCATAGCGACTCCTCCTTGAGTTTCCGAGGTGGTATCACTTCAGAAGTAGATTGCCTAATCTTCCTTCCGAGGAATGGCTAGTGGGTTTGAACTGCCAGCCTTCTGGTTAGCAGTCAAATGCCTTAGGCACTATGCCACCAGAGCTCCTTTTAAAGTATATGCAACTGAAAAATAATGAAATACATACAACTTGGCACAATGCTGGAATTCAATAAACTTTGAGTAAATATTATCTGCTATTACTATTTTAAGAAATAGTACAGAGGAGATTGTAACTTCAAAGAGGCCTCTGGAAAGCAATATGATATTATAGTAAAACTTTAGAATCATAAATCTGGGTTTCAAACCTGGAACTAAACCTCAGAATCTTTGTTTTTAAAATGGGGTTAATTGAGTTCTACATTACCAAGTTGTTGCAAGGATCATTCTGCACTAACAGGTTGTTGCAATGATCAAATGAAATAATATCTGTGAAAATGTTTAGTAAATTGTACAAATGCCATACAAGTTTCGATAGTACTATTAGCATTTCTGAAATGTCTGTACCATATTTTTACACAAATAGCACATTATGTGTTTTTGCCAACTACTTCCTGTTCCCTAAGGTGTTTTTGCTAATTAGCATAACTTGCTAATTAGCATAGCATGTTTACAGAAATACCTTGGGAGGGTGTTCTTGGGAAAAAAAACACACACACATTTTTTGCATAGAAATAAAAATGTGGTAGTTGTCAAGAATATGGTTATAGCCACTTGGAGGGGGATCTATGTAGGAGATCCTGGATAGAGTGGGAGAACAATGTGGAACAAAACTCAAAATCATGACCAAAAAAAAAAAAAAAGGGACCAGGTTTGCTGGTCTGCTAGAGCCTGGTGAAACCCCCAAGACTATGGCCCCTAGCTGCCCTTCAGGTCTGGAATTGAACCCACTCCTCTGGCTTCCAGCCAAACAAAGGACAGGCATATGAGCTGACCATTTACATTAGACAGATACAGTCCTTGGAGAGATCAGTCATGGGAGAATAGAAGGGTTGTGTATGCACAGGGAAATAGCTGTGGGGGGGGACCCAAGAGTGCATGGGAATGAAGGACACAGGGAAGAGGTGGCTATGGGGAGGAAGTAGGAGGAGAGCTGTTGCATTGTGGGAGATTACAGTCAGTGTCATGAGACAAAGTGTATGTGAACTGTATGGAACATGAATTTGCTCTGTAAACTTTCACCCAAATCACATACGATTTGAAAAATAAGAGTATCGCTATAGGTAGTATGTTAAAGTATTCATTGTAAGCTATTACTAGACTTACTTAGAATAACCAAAACCAAACCCACTGCCATTAACTCATTTTCAACTCAGAGACCTTATAGGATAGTGTAGAACTACCCCATGGAGTTTCCAACTCATAGTGACCCTATAGGACAGAGTAGAGCTGCCCCATAGTGTTTCCAGGGCTGTACGTCTTTACAGGATCAGACTGCCTCATCTTTCTCCCATGGAGCAGTGGTGGGTTCCACCACCAATCTTTTGATTAGCAGCCCAGTGTTTTAACCATAGTGCCACTAGAGCTCTTTTTTTAGGATAGCTGCCATCAATTCTATAGGAATTAGGTAGACTTCATGATGTTTAGATTTCAAGTACTTTGCTTCTTTTTGCTTCTGTGGATGTATTAGTACACACATTATCATCTGATAAATTGCTGTATTAGTTAATTCTGCAGTTATTTTAGGAAATATGAGAATTTTTCTGTTTTCTCTCCTTCCAATTATGTCTTTAGTGAGTCTGACATCACACAAGAATCACCTTTTACATCAGCCGACACTGGAAATTCAAGGTCTGCTTTTCCGAGTTATACAGGCACAGGGATCTCTACTGAAGGCAGCTCGGACTTCTCCTGGGGATATGGTGTGAGTTGTATGCTATCAATCTGATGGAGTCCTTGGGAGACCATTCTGATGTTATGATTTGCCAGTTTTGTCGGTATATTTCATTCCTTAACTCTCTTGCATTGTTTCTAAACATTTTAGTACTTAAAATTACCACTTTCTATAATAGTTATAAAGAAACATCAGTCTTTACCTTCTTTCAGTATTTGTTTTATGGATATAGTCATTGAGCCTTAGAAATGTTAGAGCTTGACTTAAATAATTTCAGGTTAATATGGATCTGGGCATTGCGTCTACTCCTTTTGCTATGCCTGGTCCATTAATCTGCAGCCCCTCCACCACTGATGTGTTACTTCCTTTAAAATGTGCTTGGTTTCTTTCACTCAGCATAATGTTTTCTAGGTTCATCCATATAGAATGTGTCAGTACTTATTTCCTATTTATGGCCAAATATGATTTCATTGTACAGATGTAGTACATTTCGTTTATCATCTCATCAGTTGATGAACATGTGGGTTGTTTCCACATTGGCTATTATGGATAATGCTGCTGTGAACATTTGTGTGTAATATTTTCTGTGGGCATATTTTTCTTTTCTCTTGTACGTGTACCTAGGAATGGAACTGCTGGGTTATAGTAAATCTGTAGTTAACTTTTCGAGGAATAGTTTTTTTTTTTTTTTTTTTTTACATTTATTGCCAGGATTATGAATTTTTTTTTCACGGTTTCTTGTGAGTCTATAAATATTGTAGATCTTTTCCTTGTATTAAATAAACATTTAATTGCAGATATAGTCACATCTATGTCAGAGTAGATAATTCCTTTGAAATGCACTATTTTGTTTCTAAGGTTTATCTCTAATTAATGAAATTCCAGTTTTGAGACCAAAGATGCAAATTGCTGCATAAATGTAGTCAATTTTTTAAATTTTGAAACAATCTTAAGCTTATAGAAAAGCTGCAAATACAGTAAAGACTTACTTTTCCTTTACCATTTGAGAATAAATTACCAATATGATACCCCTTACACCAAATATTTTAGTGTTTCCTGCAAATAAACACATTCTCTTACATAACTAGAAAGCAACCATCAAAGTCAGGAAATCAAAACTGAAAGATTACTATCATCTAATCCTCAGACCCCCTTCAAGTGTCAGCAGTTGTCCCAATAATATCCTTTATAGCAAAACTTCATTTCATATTATTTTATCTCTTTAGTCTCCTTCAATCTGGAACCATTCTTAAGTGTGTAATATCACAGATATGAACTTGTTTTTTTCATTGCATTCTATCAGGTGGCACACATTTTTGATTTATCCTGTTATTTATGATGTTCACTGTAATCGGTTAAGGGGGTGTCTTCCACCTTAATCATTCTGTTTTCCTTTGAATTTAGAACATATTTTATAGGGAAGCACTTTGAGATTATCTCAGTATCCTGTTCCTCATCAAAGTTTCCATTTATTTGTTTCTTTATATCAGTGTGGACTCATGGATTCCAATTTTATTCATTGGATTATAATCCACTATTATTATTTATTTTGATGCTCTAATTATCCCACATTTGGCCACTGGAAGCTCTTCCAAGCAGGCTTCTAATCATTTTGACATGTTTTCATCCTTCTTTAAACACTTCCTTACTCTGGCACAAAGTTATTTCAGGCTTATTTTGTATTTTCCTTGCCTTGGTCCCTTCAAAGAGCCCTAGTTTCTTTTAGTGGAGAAACTTTTTGGTTACCTCTTGTGCCACTCTAACAGGAAATACCACAGATGAGGGGCTTTAACAAATAGAAGTTTATTTTCTTACAGTTTAAGAGGCAAGAAATTCAAGTCAAAGTGCCAAGCTCCAGGTGCATGCTGGGTGAAAGTGCCTTTATCTTAGGGTTCAGCTCTGCCTCTTGCTCCCAGCCCACTGAAGCTGGAGGCTTTTCATAACTCAGACAGCTGCTGGCTGCTGAGGCTCGCAAACCCAAGGGCGACAATTAAAAAGCACAATCCCAAGATTATCAAACCACATGGCAGGCTACTTTCAAGTCCAGGAAAGTCCTAAGATCAGCAGGGCATGGCAGGCTGCTGAATGAAGACTAGTTTACATGCATGGTCCAAGCATGCCAAAAAGCTGCAGACCATTCCCAGAGCTTCTCCTTATATACTGGAAGCAGACCACATCCCTAAAGCAGCTACTCAGCTGCTGGTGGCAGATTTCACCATAGAGTTGACTGTCAGTGTCATCATGGGGAACTACAACCAGCTGCCCAGCTGCTCAAAACCAGACCCAGCCAAGTTGATATATAACCTTAACTAGCACAGAAACCAAGATTTGGGTACTAAGTGTGTTCATTACTTTTCTGGTGTCAGTGGTGCCAAGGATATCTCAGTGGGCAGAACTAAGAAATATATATGTATTTCTTATGTTGCAGTCTCTGGTAGCATAGTGGCTAAAGCACTTGACTGCTAACCAGAAGGCTGGCGGTTCAAACCCACCAGCCACTCCTCGGAAGGAAGGTTGGGCAATCCTACTTCTGTAGTGATACTGCCTTGGAAACCCAAGGAGGGGTCGCTATGAGTCGGGGCCGACTCGATGGCACATAACAACAACAACGACATGTTGCAGTCTGACATGACAGGGTTGACTCTACTTTTATCCTATTTCGTATTTGTAACTCATTTCTCTGATAGTGAATAAGATTCCCATTATCCTTAATGTATTTACTTACTTAATTAATCCTCCTGAATGTAACTAATCTACCACTATTGCCTGGCTTTTCCCCTCTGCAAATGCACTTCTCACTCTACTGAGGCTTAAATAACAAACACTGGCCATTGCCTTCCCTACTGCTCATCGAATGTGTTCTTCATCCTACTCAGACTCAGACATCTCATGCTGGCCTGACTCCCATATGAGGACCTTCCGCACCCTGCTTAGACTCTGTCACCATGTGAGAGGCTGCCTCTTCCTCATCATGGTAGCCTTCTCATTTTGGCTCCAACATTAGAAGCTGTCTGCCCTCCCATATGTGCATCTTCCTTATCTTACTTGTGCTGCTGCTCCCCCATACAAGAACCTACTGTGGTGGGTTGTATTTTTAAAAGCCATGCCAATATATATCCCATCCCACAAGCTTTTCTTGTAAGATAGTGATACTTCTCTATTGAGAAGCAGAGTCTGTGTTCTTTCTCCTGGAACCTGGTGGACCTTTTAACTGCCTCAGTCAGTAGGATGTGGTGAAAAAGATACTGTATGACTTCCTCCGTTAGGTCATGAAAGGCAATGCATCTTCTGCCTGGCTCTTTCTCTCTATATCTCTGTATGCTTTCCATTGAAATCCAGCCACCATGTTTTGAGGAAGTCTAGACCACATGGAAAAGAGACCACAAGTGGAGAGAAATTGAAGCTCCCAACTGACAGCATCAGCTGCCAGATATGTGAGTGAATGAGCATTCTGCTGATATCAGCTCCTAGCTTTTAAGTCTTTCCACTGAGGTCCCAGCCATTGTGAAGCAGAGGCAAGTAATTCCTGCTGTGATCTATACAAATACCTGACCCATACAAACCCTGAGAGATAATAAAAGATTACTGCTGTTTTTAGCCATTGAGTGTTGGAGTAATTTATTACATAATTTATTACACTGCCAAAGTAACTAGAACACCTCTCTCACACTGCTTAAGGTCACAGAAACCACATAGAGACTCTCCTCACCCCTCTTGGGCTCCCACCACATGCCAGGCTGCCCTCCTACATGAATATCTTCCTTACCTTACTTGGGTTCGAATTTCATGTGCCTAGAGGTTCTCACACATGGATGTCCTCCTTATTCTCTCTTGGCTTCGAAACCCCATGCTGGTAACTCTTTTCAGGTATTAGTTTATAAGCAGCATGTATCTGCAATCCCTAAGAGAAAAACTCATAAGGTAAGCCTCTGTTTGCCCTGGTTCTTTAACTGGAAATAGTTTCTTGGCTATGGACTAGTGATCTAATGTCCAAGCAGAGCATGGTGATCTCACTGTGCTGAGGATGTAGCAATTGGAATTTAAGGCAATTGGAATCTATAGGATCAGAGAGAAACGAGCACTAGAAATTGTAAATAAATAAAATACAAACATGAAAGTGTATATTTTTATTGTGATTTCTTTAAGGAGTAACAACTGACTGATTAAAAAATAATACAGTGTAAGATTAAGTATATCATATACGTAGCTCTAAAAGTTGAGACTTAAAGTTACTCAAAGGCTGAGTAACTGTAAATAGAGTTATATTTTTATAAGGTTATTATGTTTGTAAAGGATCAGGTGTGAAGAGAGAGGTACAAAGTGCTAAAATATTAACTAAATAGACTTTGGTAGGTTAAGGATGCATATTATTAGCCCTAGAGCAAGCACTGAAAAATTTAAAAGGAGAATTAGCTATAAAATGGAATACTAGCAAACATTTTGATTAACCCAAAATAAGATGTGAAAGGAGCAAGAGCGCCCCACCCACAAAAAAAGCACATACCAGGAAGAGACACATGGAAAAGAAATCACAAGATGCTAGATTACAGCATAGCCATGTTGATAATTTCATTAAATATAAGTGAAATAAACACCCTAATTAAAAGCAGAGATTGTCAGAGTAGCTTAAAAAAAAAAGTCCCAACTATATACTATATACCATATACCAGAGATGCATTCTAAATATAAAGACACAAATGGTTGACATGTCCTAACTCTTGGCTACATTGCAGAGAATGGAGTGATTCAGCCACCAGTCAGGACATGTCAGAAGTACCAGAAGTTGGAAGAAGCAAAGAACATACTCTCCCCTAGGCCTCCAGAGGGAGTGTGGTCCCTGCTGACACCTTGATTTCAGACTTCTGGTCTCTAAAGCTGAGAGAATAAATTTATGTTTTGAGCCACCAAAGTTTTGCCTTTGGAAAGTAATGCAGATAGCTTCACTGGTAAATTCTAGCAACTATTTATTGATTTATTTTTCTATTTAATATTTAAAGAAGACATAATAATAATCTTTCACAAACTGAGAG